CTACCATTTTTATTATTGCTAGTGAAGGAGGGATGTTTACCGGGAAACCCTCATTGCATTTAAAGAGACACACACAGCAAAACAGAGCGTTCTGAGAGAGCTGGGAGAGAGCTGAGAGATACAGGGTCACAAACCTCCTCTGGTGCTTGATTCATGTTATATTTTGACCAAAGCTCAGCACAGATGTTTCATTTAGACCACAGGGGACTGTTTGAAAATGGGGATAATATGTCCTCTTTAAACAGACCAAGAAATACACTTTACTCAGTCACATCTAACTTTACCTTGTTGGCTCGGTAGTGCTCTTTGACCCGCGGCTTCAGGCCAATGTGCAGGTAAAGCTGGTCTTTCTGGTTGTAGCGAGTCCAGGCCACTTCCTCAAAGCGATTGGGCTTGGTGTGGATGAACTTGGTGTCCTGGGGGACCGGCTGGTTGGGGTCCCTGGAAAAAGAGCAAAGGAGGAAACGTTATTGATTCAAATAAATCTTGGATAAAACCATGCAACAGTACACACATTGTGCCTTCCATATTTTATACAATCCTCTCCTGGCAAATAAGTAATAGTTTACAGATCTGTGGATATTTACTTTGTGGTTAGAAAGAACTAAAGTTTAACTAAAGAAAAAAATGCACCCCCGAGACATGACAGTCTCGTTTATTAGAATTTTAATTTTGACCTAAGTGTAGCAACTCCCTCCGGCTAATCACTGTAATTATGAACACAGAGGTATGCAGTGTCTAGATGAAGCCCTGAGGTTTCATCAAATATTAATCAAGAGTTTCTGAGATATCACACCTGATAAAAATCAAAAAAAGGTCAAAATCGGTATTATTGCTCACGGATGATTGGTTTTCTAAAGATTCTGATTAAATCGAAAGGTCTTAAGAAAGCTAATATCATTAGAAGTTTCGCTAATTTGAAGTTTCTCATGCTAAAAAAATCAGTCTCACACTTTATTTTTCCTCATTATGCATGATGCTGCATGTCTCACTGGGAGTGACTCATTTATATATAATTCAAACACTTATATGCTTCAAACCACGGGATATATTCTTCTGTAGAAATGAGTCCAACCATGCTGATAATTTACATAAAGTATATGCTTCATAAGTCCCAAAAAAATCTTAATAAGGTTGTTTTGTGTGCCTTCTACATTTGGTAAAGCATAGGAGATAATACATGGAAACATATCAATGCACTGTATAGTGAATGCAGGTCAGCGCCCCTATGTGAACTCACCCCATATGCAGAACAGAGTAGCTTTCAGTGCACATTTCACATGGGATACTGCGCTAAATAGGCCCACTTACACTTAATCTGGGCTGAACAGAGCCAGCCATTTGAGCTATGGAAGCCCATTCAGACCCACTGAGCGCCCCATTGTCTGAAGAGCGGCATGTGGAGCCAGCCAGACCCCATCAGGATCACGCTTAACCATTGAAATTGGTGGCATAAATCTCCCAGGTACCCGGCATTCCACGTCAATTTGGGGTTATATAGTAGATAATTAGAGCCTTTCTGTTCCCCTCAGGGCTACTGGGCATCGCACGGAAAAAAAAGCCAATGTCCCCCCATTACGCTCTCAAAAAACAATTACCGCTGTGACTATATGCTGAAAGGCAACGTGGGAATGAGGGAGGGAAAAAAGGATTTAAATTTCATCCCATCGAGAATGTCACTCTTCAGGCTACGTCCATTAATTAAGAATGTATTTGAAGATATGTCGAGAGTGTCTGCGCAGAATACCAATTACACTGCACAGTCCATTAAACAGGATAGCACAATTCACTTCTCCTGATCATCAAATGTAGGTTAATATTGTGGAAACACTGACAATGAAATCGTCAATTAGCTCATGGGCTTGTGATGCTGATTACATGTGATGACGCCGACCAAGACTGTTGAAGTGACCCTTTGGCTCACTTTCTATTGATGTATGTTCTGCATAATAATAAAGTTTGCAAATTAGATTGATCCATAGATAATGGACACAGTTTGGATATTATGCATATGCTTAATTTTAATCAGATATCCCAAAATAAGCTCTAATTTTGGAATTTCATTAATCAATTTTCATCTTCTAAAGCAGATTCACCAAATTCACACCTTTCCCTACTTTTTTATGGCTGTGCTTGAATTTAAATAATTTGTATCCACCTAATGAAAAGAAGCTTCTTTGACATTTACTTTGACGTCTTTGTTTGCTTTTGGCGTCTTTAAGTTCGTTTTGTGACTTTAATTCAAGCGTCAACCTCTGGTTTTGAGAAATGAATCCAATGTTGAAGTGCAAAATCCTCACTGACTGAAGTATTTTCTGTGGACATACTTATCTGTAATAAGTATGTAATGTAAAAGTATTAATATAATAATATCTGTTGCAGTCACATTTCAATGTGACCTTTGGCAAAACACTGAACCCCAAGTTCCTCCCGCTGTTGTGTCAGCGGCATGTGAATGTGTCTTAATGGGATTAGTTCAAACTGAGTGACACTTTGCATAGCATACTCTGCCATCAGTGGGTGACCTGCAGTGTTTCAATATTCAGAAGACTAGAAAAGCGCTGTAAAAGCCCATGTCCATTTACCACTGACATGCTCTGTCATAGTTTTGTCTCAGCCCTTCACATTAGCACATAGGACCTGAGTTGCGTTCTCTTTTGGGTTCTGTGTTTGTAATGTCATCATACCCTGTCTTGGCAAAGTTAGTCCAGTAGGTCATGACCACAGCGCTGAGCATGACGTCATTCTTGGAGAAGTTGCAGGGAAACAGCTCTGTTGGTCCAATCATGGGAAGGCCAAACACATAAGGGATCTCATCTCCGTGTGCTGCATCCGCCCACGGTGGAACCTAATGAGCAACAGATGAATCGAATCAGATCAGTGTTATTTCATTTATGCAACAGATACAGGACACTGAAAGGCATTATTAGTGCAGCAGACATCCAGTACAATGGTTATTGTGACACACAAAGACACATCAAAGACGCCAGGAAACTTCAACATTTCTGAAAGAGGAGAATGGAAATGAAGTATGGTTTTTTTTTTACGATGTTGCTAACCAGATGTGGCTGATTATTCAGTTTATACCAGAGCCAGACAAGATGAAAAATACAGGGATGGAACAGAGCCGCTTTGAATTGAATTTTAAACAAAATGTTGAAAGTGCATGTAGCTGAAGCCTGACGTGTGAAAAATATGCCAAAGGAACTGCAGAGATTCACTCACTAGTCCCTCTTTCTGGACTGCACAATTTGTCTACAAACTGTAAAATATACATTTAAAAAAATAGAATAAAAGCGTTGGGAAGCGGAACAACTTTGGCTGCAAACACTTGAGTTAAAAAGTGTAATAAAATAAAACCAGACTTTCTTGTGTTCCCTGGTAAATCTGTATCTCTTGGTTTGGTAAACCAGTCTCCCTTCAGGGCTCAAAGAAATTCAGTTTTCTTCAGAACCAGATACAAAAACCAAGAAAACAAAAACTCTGTTGTTCTGTAATTGGTCGTTTCAGATTTTAGGGATGATAACAAACTCAATTTTATTTTGTAATTTAAAGCCAAATGGTGAGTTCCAGTTCGATAAAACGCTAGCTTAATGCTGTTGCAATTGCATCCAAGTCACTGGAAAGGCATGGAATGATGCATAAACATGCTTCTTCACTCTCAATAAGTCAAATATATTTAAGCTTTATGTTTAACTTCAGGATTGTACGGGGACAGAACATGAAGAAAAATGATTTAAGTGACACTCAGTATTACAAAACCACTCCACACAATCACACCATCTTTGTATTTCAGAAGCCAGATTGGGTACATAGGATGTACAGTCACACTATCATAGACAGAGACCTACCTGTTCTGTTTGGCAGTGGTGATAGAAGGCATAAAAGTATGTTGGTGACCCAAAGCTGGAGTGCAGGTCAGCTGTTGCAACAGCCGGCGCCACCCACTGGTGATCAGTAAAAAGTGCCAGGAGTGTCTTCCTACGGGTCTCCGGGTTGTGCCTGTCCGCCCAATCTGTGTACATGAACTTGATCGTCTCTCTGAGGATGTCTTTGCCTTCTGGGTAGCCATAGAGGTCATCCACAAAGCTGGACACGGCATAGTCAAAGTCGTTTGCCTGGACGCCGTTTTCATTGTCCACAATGAGCTCCACAAACTTAAGGCCCTCCCCTTGGTTTACTCCTAGCATGATGTCATAGTTGAGGAACTCACCTTAAAAAATGGTACAGATGATTGTTTAGGGAAGAAATTCAGAGAATACACATTGAAGGAAAATTCCTTTTAAAAAAAAGTTGAAATGATACCTTGCTCCATAAGAATCTGAGGGTCATCCGGTATAACATCCCCATCAATAACCGGCCCAAAGGCGATGTGGTAGCGGGCTGGCTGTATGTCCTGATCCACCAGCTCTTTGTAAGGTTTTCTCTGAAGGCACGCCACAAGCTCTACAGTGTCTTCAAGGTTACAGCCGACCTTACGGGCCAGCATCCGGGCATACTTGGCTGGTTGAAAACTGACAGCCCAGCTGGACAGAGCGGTGCCACTCTGGGCGATCGCCCTCTGGAACAGGCCTGGAGAATCAAAACAGCAAAGGGTCAAGGAGGAAGGAAAGAAACAATACACTATGCCCTGGGAAGTCTTTCTAGTGTCATAGAAATCAACAAACATATATACATACACAAGCACAAAACAAATATACATGCAGCTACTGGAAAAAATAAGACATTAGATGAGAAGCAGGCTGAAGATATTAAAGAAAGTGAAATGTATACGAGTTGAAGTCCCACCATCTAAAGACAAAACTGGCACAATTATTATTAGTCCAACCTGGATATATAAACTGTTTACCAACTACACTGATCATCAGTCTCTGATAGGGTTGTCATAATTCGATACCAGTAAAAATCAAACAATCTGTTTTCGATACCACAGCGATAACAAAAAAAGTGTTTTTCCTAACCCCCTGCTCGCAGTGCTGGTACAGAAAAAGCCCCTGAACACATGACAATTTATATGATGTACTTTTTACAATATACAAAGGGCATACTGAAGAGTGTTTACACCCAAAACAGGGTACACAAATCAATTCAACGATCACTCCAGACGCTGCAGCTACATAGAGTCATCTGTATTTTGGGATGTTCTTTTCTTGGCCGTGTTTTGAGACATTTCTTCTTGTCAGTCATTGAGTAGTGGTTTGGTGCTCACCCACAACAGTCTGCAGGTCGTGACTAAATGACAACGAAGCAAGCAGGTAAAAATTGCTTCCTCTCTATTCCTCTGCTCTGAGTGCTGACAAATCACAGCAGTGGCTCAAAATGTGCAAAGTATGCAATGACAGTAGGAAACTTCCCTAACGGGACCCCATTGACAGCACTCAACTCTCGTAGCCCTGCTAAGCATTGCATGCATTATTCCTTTGAAAGCCCAAGTTTATCAATGAAGGTCACAGAACGAAAATGAAGTGAAACGATCAGAAACAGAACTAAGAGGAGCAGAGAGTGATGATGACATTTTTAAGGGTATGACTGAAAGCTGCTGGTCTAGCCCTAAGTATGGGGGAGAAACACATTAATAATGTAACTTCTGCTAGCATGAAATTATGACGTTTGTTCTTTGATGTCTAACATTCGTTATTGTAGCTAGCAGAGCAGCGTGTGTGTCCACATTATATAACAGCATACTGTATATAAGAAACAACGGGGATGAAGACATTTTTACCTGGGACCAAAACAGACCCCAGAATCACCCCTCTGGAGAATTATGACTTCAACCAGCACTGTCCAAGATGCATATTTAGAGCAAAAGAAAGATTCAATTCTAGTAACAATGTAATTTTTTTGTTTTATATCATCACTTATAAAGTCAATAATGCTAAATTGTGCTCCCACAATGAATACAGTCTGAAAAATGACTGCAGTCAGAGGTCACACGGCAAACATTGGTCAGCCTTCAGTAAAAGCCCTCTGAAGTGAGTTTACTCGTGTTAGCACTAACAGATTATTCCATTTGGTGATAAGACGTTAACCTTGCAGGTCACATTGCTAACCCTTCTGAGTTCTCCATAAATAAGTAAACTTAAAATAATTAAAATAACTAGAAACTAAATTTGTATAAATATCTCAAGGCAAATGCTATAATGTTGTATTATGACTTTATGAACAAGAAGTAACCGTGCTCAGGCCCGGGTTAGTCCTGGAGCAGTTTTGAGTGCAGGGCAGCGGGAGAATGTTGATAGGGGGACAATCGTGTTTCAGCACAGTACAAGGCAACTGGACCTAGTGTGAGCGCTCCCTGAAGCTCAGTGCAACACACAGGGTACAGTAGCCCTTACATGATCTTAAGTTTAGTGGAGCTGAAAGGTTTAGTAGCCTCTGTCATGGTGTAGTGTTTTGAAGCAAAGGTTGATTCCTTTTTTTTTTTTGCAGTGATCCGATAAAAAAAAAAAAAAAAACATGTCTCCATATTCTGAGTGTTCTGGGGGTTGATATCCCAGGAGAAATGTTTTTTTTTTTTTGTATTTTACCTTTGGTGGAGTTGCTCCAGCGGTTGCCCTCAGAGTAGTGAGACAGAGTGAGCAGGTTTACACAGGAACCTCCGGCGCCTGACCCGAACACAGTGATACGTAACGGGTCGCCACCGAAGGCTGCGATGTTCTCGCTGGTCCAACGCAGAGCCTGGATCAGGTCCAACAATCCATAATTCCCTTTAGCCGCCTGGTCCCCTGTACTCAGGAACCCTGCAGAAGGAGACAAAGAACAGAGGAGACGTCGGTTACATTTTTTTCTTTTCATGCATCTCAAACAAGTCGTTGGTTGTTTCGAGTTTAGCTGCAGACAAAATTAGAGCACTAAACAGAGAGAGACAAAAAATGGATGGGTCAGTGGAGGAAGTTTGACTTTTCCTTTTGTCACTACAGAAAGTTAATTATCCTCCATACACTACATTTTGAAGACCACTGAGGACAGAACTGTTTTAAGACTCGTCCTCTTCTCGACACATGGAAAAATCTTTAGACCACTGGAGCACTTTCTGCCAGAGTAGATAACATTGCATATTTCTTCGTTGTACATGGAAAACCAACAGGCCTATAGCTCTAATAATTCGCTGCAATAAAACCAGAGTAATTACTCAGTAGAACCACTTAAAGTGCAGATTGGCTAAATATAACACGGACAGACTCATTCTGGAGAGAGACATCTATGAATCTACGATCCAGCCCCCAAATAGAACCTACAGTAGCATAATTATAAAAAAGGGTCATGTGTTACACAAACAGCACATTATTTATAAGAGCTTAAGGGCAGAGCAACAAGCAAAGCATTTAACACTGCATTATTGAACTGTAGAATGAAATCTCTTTTCTTTGAGATTCTTATTTGTGTCAAAGAAATCTGATTCAAACACATCAGTTTAATTATTTTTAGATCCATGAGAAGAGCAAAATATATAAAAAGCAACATATAAATGTGGTTTGTCACATTTGTGAAAATGTTTACAAAGGGTTAGGGTGGTGTTGACGGGGAGTTTTCAGCCATGCTGCCATGCGATTAACTTTATTTCCCTAGTTGGGAAATATTTTTCCACGAAAACCAGTCCTACTGGTGTTGTGTTGCTGCTGTGTTTCCTGATCTGAGCAATTCACGTTAGGAATACAATCTTGCCAGAAGTATCAATAACTAAATAACACAAAGAAGACCCAGCTTGAATAAGCAGGGTAGTGCATCCTTCAATGAGCTTTCAAAGGGGGCTAGTAAAATACATTAGCAACCATTATATGGAATTATACATAAATCTAAATCCAGCCCCACCTCTTCAAACCCCCACACCACATCTTTTATTCCACCTATTCAGTTAAACCCCTCAGGTATGCCACTTCTTGTCAATGCAGCTTTATAAAGATCCAGTGGTGGTTTGAATGTTCAAGTCCATGCTTCCCAAGTACTCCCACAGGAGAGCTCGAGCCTTTTACAGCAATCTATGTCCTAAAGCCCCCCTCACCATCACCCCAACTGCAATTTCGGCGCTCCCCTTATTTCCATACTAAAAGCTCCATTACCTGCTGCAGGTGTCCAGGGATTCCCCCACACCCATCAACCGCACGCATAAACCTTTCCCCTCCAACTTAGAGCTTCACATCTTTTCCTTCCTCTGTCCTCTTGAACGTTCTCACCATTGTACCACTCTGTGACTAAATGGAGAGCTCATTACACAGTGTCAGTCAACACTACAGTCACATCTCCACAGGGATACATTCAGGCCACATGTATCGGACACACATGGTGTAAAGCCTCTAAGGGATGCGCTGTAATAGGCTGCAGGAAGAAATGATGTCACCACTTCTCCTTGAATACACACGGTACGATTTAGTCCACACCTTGAAGCTGGAAAAAAGCATTATGTTCTGTAAATTCCTCAAAATGAACGAGTAAAGGCCAGCGAAATAAGCCTTGAGAGGCAGATTTAGTTTATTTGGACATCACTTTTTCCATCAAAAAAACAACAACAACACGGTTATGTAACTCTCCCCAATGTCGTGCTCTGTTTGTGGTTTTTAAAAAAAAACAACAGCACTGTTCTAATTTGCAGCTCTTTTGTTCGCTGTTTAGCCACTGTCACTAAAACACAAAATGTTCTGTAGATATTTTAAATTAAAAGTGCAGCAGGAAATGGAGACAATATTGCTTGCTAAGTTGCACGCCGAAAAGAAAGTGTTTCTTGTAATTGACCATGACAAAACACTCACCAGAAATAAAGACTAAATACTCCAGCTTGCTGAAATTAAGGCGAGTGCACTATGAGCAACAATACAGGGCAGAAAGTTGACTGTTAAGCAGATAGATCAGGCTGTTCAGCCTATAATAACTAAAAAAATGTTTGACTGATGTCTGCCACATTAGCCTAAATGGAAAGGGTGACAATAATGCCCTTCTTACCAGCTCTTAATTTTGAAAGTTGGCTGATGAAACTGATGAATGACACAAACAAACAAATTGCCCTCTCATAGGGATAATAAAGACAAACTTGAACATTAAAGTACCTCTTCCCATATCCTGGGTCTGTTTTAATATGTGCTTTAATTTAAAGAAATTCCACCAAAGAAACAAAAATAAAGGAAAGGAACCGTGTCTTGGCATAAGTAACCGCTTTAGATCTGGAAATTGAATAGAAAAAGCTAAATATGTAGTTTGTTTCTTCGACAGTACTAAACACATATTTTCCCTGAAGGTAGCTTCCTCTGGATCATTGGCGTGGACGGCCTACTGCTATTTCACTTACACAAATGATTTCCTAACAATAGAGATTATTTTCTGGAACTGAGTGGGAAGATTCACAAGAAGACTCCGGGGGTCGCAGACTTGGCTTTTAGCTTTTTTTGGTTGCACCGACGTCCCAAAACATTGCAAACAAAGGCAAACCTGTGAGGACAACCAACTATGTTGAGGACAACGTAGGGCAGAGATTCAGCACCTTTTCAAGGTTTGTGATGATCAAGAGCGTGTTCTTATCATTTATATTATCTTGTGATGCACGTAGTCTGTCTCACACATGCACTTCTCACATAATGCACCATGAATGCTCACAAACAAGGCATACTTCCTGACAGGTTGATTAGACTTCCTCTTGACAATCACAACACAGTACATTTGCCATCTGCACGCTCTGGCCGACCCCCACAGCCCTGCGTGTCCCTCCGATGACTGTTTAATTGAGTTCATTCCTTTTCTATTTGCCTTCCGCTGGTTTATTTATTTATATGTGTGTTTCTTGATCAAAGCCTAATCTTGTGGAAGCAACAGAAGCCATCTACAAGAAAGATTTTAATTGATTCAATTTAGCTGCAGTGCAGGGATGGGCTGGCAATCACAACGAGCAAGCAAGAAGAATGATTAGTACACGGAGAGAGTGGTGGGGCACCAGGGCAGGGCTCGCTCTCTCTCTCTTTCCCCCTCTCTCTCTCTCTCTCTCAGACACACAGGTCTTCTAACGCAGATATGTTGAGATACAATAATCTGAATTATGCAAATACAAACATGTTTGATTTGGAATATTTAAAGCCACACAGGGTTTACAATTGAATTCAAACTCTTAGACATCTACTCCTTATTCAAATCTAACCTAAATGACGTTCCTTATACTAAAATGTACAATTGCGATTATCTACTGGAAGGTCTTCGTACATGCACTATCAAACCCCTGCGGATGATCTTGAACGCAGCAGCGCGACTGGTCTTCAACCTACCCAAAAGAGCACATTTAACTCTAACTGTTCATCTCCTTACACTGGTTCCCAGTTACTGCTCGTATCAAATTGAAAAACTCTGCTGCTCGCTTACAAAACAGCGACAAAAACAGCTCCCCTGGTGGTGGAACAAACTGCCAAACTCCATTTGACCATTTTGATTGCAACAGATGTGATAAGCGTCATGTTGCAGCACGCAGATATCCAGATAACTAATAAGAAAAAAAAAACATCTGGGCGAAAGAAGTTCTTTATGTCCCTTGGTGATTGTTAGCAGTCTGAGAAGCATGCCGAAACTAGAACGTTCCAGACACCAATTATCTTGTCCCAGTTATCTGTCATAGAGAGTATATATAAACAGAAAGTCCTGTCTATAAAAGGACATTAGTGGCCCTGTGTTGTCATACAAAACCAGATGTGACAGGCATCTGTTGTGTTGACAAGGACACGATAGCCAATAAGAGCCATCAAATCTCCTCCTCACGACCTAGCTCGATTTACTGTTTCAAAGACCGCTTTCCCTTCTTTTTACAATTTAACTCCTGCACAGCATGCAATGTTTGAGGCTATCCCTTTGATGTTCCAGTCTTTGGTGATGTTGTGAATGCTGCGTGTTATCAGCCCTTCAGCTGAGGCCTCACACACTTTACTTTCCTCCCGTGTCAGGTGGACCATATGTGTCTGTGTGGAACGTGTGGCTAAAAGCCACCGTCCGTGATCAGGGAGGCTGTGATACCGCCGCTCGCCCTCTAAGCTCCCAGGATGACAATATTATGGTGAACCCTGATCCAGGAATCCAGCTTTTATCCCCGCTATCTCTGTTCAACCAGAGAGGGAATGCTAGAAGAGTAGAAAGATGGGATTTTTTATTTAATACTTCTTTCTCTGCACACATCTATTTTTCACAGTCATGGTCTGTATACCGTAATCCTCTCTCTGTTCACTCGCTCTCTCTGCCACTATCTGTCCTTTTGACTCTCCGCGTCATGAAAGGCAGAATAAGAAAGAACAGCAGAGGAGAAACATCAGCACTGAAGCAGGTAAACTGGAGCAGCAGATGCCGTTTATTACATACAGGGAGTGAAATCTGAAGAAAAAGCGGAATTCAGAAAGCAAAATGTAAGGGGCTGCGACAGTGTAGGATGGAGACGAATAAGTTCATATAGAAAAATAAACAAGCATAGAGACACAAAGACAATAAAGGTGAGAGGTAACAATGAAATGGAGAAGTAGAGGAAAGAAGACAAAGAGAGGCTTAAAACCCGCCTCAGCTCCAGCTCTCAACCTGTCTGACTGAAAGTTATGTTGAGACAGGATTTCCAGCATGGCGGCTGCTGCCGATGAGCCTCCGGAGCCCCCTGCAGTAACAGATGAGTGACCTCACTCATGCTTCGTCCATTAATATTCACAGTCTATGTTTTTACCCTGAGAAAAATACATATAATTTATAACTCTTCAAGTAGACCACAACTGCATCGTGTGACATATCTTATTGT